AAACAATCGATCATCAATATAGCACCAATTTTTAGCTTTCGAACGCGTCCAGTACCTGCAGAGTTAGCATCATTTTATAGAGTCCACTGATACCTGAATGCAATTTTATTTAAGATACATGTAAAGATCAATTTATTATGAGATAAACTCTCGGTGATTGTAACATCTAGATTTATTAACAAATCTAAGCTACAGACTTATTTATTTAGATAAAGAAGCTATTGTATGATATTAATAGAGATGAAAAATTCATAAAATAGTGAGAAAATAAAAGCTACAATGTTACTTATTGTGGAAATAAGGAGCAAGTAGACAGTAAGTCTGGTAAACGATAACAATAGAATCACACGATATCTGGAGAATAAAGTAATTATAAGTATTGCGTGACTGGAATGACTTAAACTCTATTTCCAGCGATAATAATTAATTAAAACGAATGCTCTTTTGCCAATACATGCTACTTTCTTATAGAGTGTATATATTTCTTAATGCGAAATAATGACGAATGAAAGATAGTCTGCTTATGCTTTACTTAGCAGCAAGGATAACAGTTGCATCTATTAATTTAAATGGTGTAGCGCTTTCAGTTGTTTCATTTAGTAATCCACTATATCAAATATGACGCTCTAGTAATCGCATTTAAAATTATTTTGCACTATTGCACAAGTATACCCTGTGAATAAATTATTTCTGTATTGAATTAGTAAACAGAAATTAATTATTCCCAATCATGTACACTAATGTACACAAAGCTGATCCTGCTAGAATATCTTAATAGCTTAATAGCCAGGTTGCGATATGAAATTTGCTCGTAAAGTATTAACTTTATATTGATGTCGTAAAATTATATTGCAGCTATGATGATAAGTACTGGGCTATCGTAATTTTAATAAGATGCTTGATTGTTTTAATAAGTCAACAATTTGTTATATAGAGTAATTAATCATTACTTCAAGGATATGTCTATTTCTAGTTTACTGATTTCACACGGAAATATACTGCATTATTCATTATTCATGGTTTGATTTCAGGTAATTAGCACCGATCCTGAAACATTGTGTGTATTCAATTCTTTAAATATAGGTTATGACGATACATTCTAATAAAATAAGCTGAAAGCAATATCTTCATGGAAGACAGAAACTATATAACCATATAATTTTTCATATTATTCACAGATGAGTGAGAGTCTTTGTCTGACTGTTAAACGAAAGACTTCGGAAATACCTAAATCAGGATCGCTATTGTGTTGTTAATGTGCTTACTCTATACGATATCATGACAGTAGCAGCAGAATGAATTGGCTATCAAAATGGAGCGTGATGGAAACAAAGTTTTTCAATGTTTGGAAATACTGTAATAAAGTATCTATTAAAAAAAAACATAATCCCGTAGACATTCTTAATATTAAAGAAACTGCATTTCCGTTATTCGTCAGGCACCCCGAACATATCATATACAATTCTTTATAAATTGCAGTTCTGATTGCGTGATCTTATGTGCTTATGTTACTTTACTGTCTAAGTGATAAATAGAACAGTTATTGAAGTGGTGAATTGCAGATTTTTCGATTTAATTACAGTTTTATGCCTTCGGGAGGTCGACAGTATTTAAAGTCGTACTAAAGGTGGATGCCCGGGAAGATGAACTTTACGCTTGGCTGGGAGCCTGGACATTATTGCAGTGGTATACTACTGTACTGTAGTTGGAGTTTTAAATTTTCCCAATACAAATTTCGGTTTGTAACACATCTCATTTTAAGTTCAAGTGGAGACAAAAGTTTTGAGAGTGATTCGTAGTTATTTGAATGCCTTCTTAGAGTGAAGATTTTTCGTAAAATTGTACTTGTCTTGTTAAGAAGTTTATCAGCGAGACAATCGCTAGAAGGGTAATTCTAGATACGCAAGCGACTAAGGAAGTCCACAAACCTGGCGTTAGCATTGTACCACATAGTAAATTGTGCCAGTTACAAGCACGAAAGCGTTTCTACTGTAATTATTTACCGTAACTCTTAATTAAGTTTTTAAGCTATAAATGCGCTTTCAAGATATCAATTTTTCGTTAGATGTATTCGATTGTTTTGTATCTGTGCCTTAATTCCTTATACAGCTCGTGCGTGCTGTTACTTCAGAAGTACTTTATTCGCTGCTTATTTCGATCTTTTACTTTGAAATTTTGTGGCGTAGTAGGATACAACGAAATGTCGCAAGACTTTGAGATAAGTCGAGATTTTTGCCTAGCTACTGGCTATCTTTCACACATCCTGCTGTGCGTCGTTACTATACGCTAATTAATGCATACTACAAGCATGCGAAGTATCATGCGTAAATTGAGCTCAATAGTTATAGTTAAGTAGACTATACACGTTAATTAAAAAGTTGTTTGTCCGGTAAAATATAGACCAGTACTGATTATATCAGTACGGAAACAATTAGGGTATAATTATTGTAAGAGCAATTCTACTTGATATCAAGTTAGAAAGTAGATTTGCTGCATTAACGAGCGGAAAGACTCCTATTTTGCACTATCTCCTTGTGTCGCAGACTCATTCGTGACATTATGCTACGATTTCAATTAATTCATTCAAAATATTGCTTTCGAAATCAGTCACTAAAATAAATTGAGTAGCGAACATTCTTGAGTATAGGCGTGCTCCAATTTATACTCGTTAGCATTTTTTTGAAAGGCAATTTGCGTGCCGTTATTGAATTTATCGTAAAGTATACCTGATGAATGAGAGTGCAGGACTCAAATAAGCAAAAGGACGTCATATCCACCGTATATCTTTAATAGGGATGATTATTCTCGCAAATTACGGACTACATGATGAGAATTTCTGATTTAAAGGAACACTTAAGAGGTGAGGGATTGCAAAATGCAAACTATCGATTATAATCACTACCAATAATGTGCAGGCAGACTATTCTGCTGTGTTGTATTCGGATAACGTACCCAACGTACTCGCAAAACTGAACAAAATGGTTGCAGATAGCTAAAGAAATGTCCATTTCGACAACCCACAGTAAAACAGCCTCCATAATTCTAGAATTTTTCTAGCAGAGAGACGTGGGAAAGTTTGAAAATAAATTGTCAAATGTGAATGAATAATGAAACCTAAAGTGGAGTCTTGAATCTTGAGGTCAAGATTTGACAGTTTTTACTATGGAATGCTAAACCTTTTGAAGATTTCTTTGTGAACTTTACCATATCATTGGCGGATAGATCGTTTGCAGTCCTTTTCAATTCTCATAATCTCCCTCTATTACTGTAGCATGGACATCGAGGTAAGGGAAAAAACTCCTTTTTATGCTTTTGATCTGTATCTTAGCGCACATTTACAGCTGCCATCGATAAATCTGAGATAGCAGTAGATGAACTCGCACTTTCTACCAGAGTACTCAGTACAGAAATTTGTAATAAAGACCCATAGAGGTAAGAAACAACCTCTAT